ATCATTACATAAAAGGGTATGGTCTTTTTTTTTTTAGTTTTATTCATTTCAAACGGGCCGGATCCGGCCCACAGGCCGTAGTTTGCCCACGGCTGCCTTAACCAATAAAGAAATTTTAAAAAAAATTTTTTTAAAATATATCTTTATTGATTTCAGAGAAGAAGGGAGAGGGAGAAAGAGATAGAAACATCAATGATGAGAGAGAATCATTGATCGGCTGCCTCCTGCACGCCCCCTACCGGGGATCGAGCCCGCAACCCAGGCATGTGCCCTTGACCGGAATCGAACCCGGGACCCTTCAGTCCCCAGGCCAATGCTCTACCCACTGAACCAAACCAACTAGGGCTTAAAATTTTTATAATTAAAACATTTTAAATTATAAAGTAACGCATGTTTATTCTTTATAAAAATTAGGCTAATATAATAATAGTACATAAATAAAAGTTCTGTTCCTTTTCTGTTCCTACTATAGACTGGAGAGAAGCTGCCTGTCTTTTTTTTTAATCTTTGTTGTTGAAAGTAATACATATGTCCCCTTTTTTCCCCATTGACCTCTCTCACCCTGGCCCCCCTATTGTCTGTGTCCATTGGTTATGCTTATATGCATATAAGTTCTTTGGTTGATCTCTTACACCGCCCACCCTCCCCTGCCTTCTCTTTTGAGGTTTGACAATTTGTCCGATGCTTCTATGTGTCTAGGTCTATTTTTATTTATCAGTTTATGTTGTTCATTAGATTGAACATATGAGTGAGATCATGTGATACTTACCTTTCTCTGGCTGGCTTATTTTGCTTAGCATATCAGCACTGCTCTCCAGGTCCATCCATGACATTATAGAGGTACATCTATAATGTCTTTTAATGCAAAGAGGCCTGAGCCTCAGGAAGCGAAGCTGAGGGTGGTAGGAACACAGACAATTCTGGGCCCTGTGTGAACAAACTGTTAAGCACTTACAGTCTTATTCTATTTGTACTTTGAACCATTTTGTACATAGGTGATTAATCTGTAAGCATTGGTAGAGATTTGGCAATGTATGTGTTATCCAAGTAAACTAGATTCTGTGTTAAGAGATTTGACCTGTTTTGTTGTTTGTCTGACATTTTTTAAAGCACTATGACATTTGAAATTGTATTTGTTTCTTGTTGTATTCTTTTAAAATATTCAGAGGTTTTGATCACTAGAATATCTTTTTTTAACATATACATTTCAGGTCATTATCATTTTCATAGTTTAATAATATTTCCAATAGCTTTATTATCCTGAGGTAAACCATATATTTTCTTTAATATATTTTAGGTTGTAAAATCAAATGTTCCATTATTTTAGACTATGTTTCCAACAGTTTAGTTTAAAATACAGTATTATGTTCTTCTGGTTATGAGGACCCATGAAAGTACAGCTGTCCCTCGGTACCTATGGGTATTAGTTCTCTGGACCCCTGCGATATAAAAATCTGAGGATCTCAAGTCCCTTAAATAAAATAGCTCAGCATTTGCATATAAGCTGTGCACATTCTCCCATATATTTTAAATGTTTCCTAGATTACTTAAAATACCAAATGCAATGTAAATGCTATGTAAATAGTTGTTACACTGAATTGTTAAGGGAATAATGGCAAGAAATAAAATCTGTACATTTTTGTACAGATACGACCATCATAGGCTTAACTACATTGTACACTTTAGAAATAGAGCAGCATTATTCCATCACCCCTGAATATTTTCTATCTGCGATTGAATTCACAGATATAGAACCCACAGATACGGCGGGCTGACTATAATCCTTTGGCAAATAGTTTAGGAAAGAGAGTGAGGAGTCTGACTTCTGTTTAACCTTTCAGCTCAGAACAAGCCAGCTTAAGAGTAATTGACCAAACATATTACTTTGAGATTCTAATGTAAATAATTAACATTTCTAGATTAGAAAACTTCAGTACACTGTATAACTGTCATCATTTTTAGGCATAGTCACTTTTAGGAAGCTGTTCTGCAGTTCTTAGTTCATTAAGTCTGTTTGTTCTAGTAGAATATAAAAAACTTGGGAATATTTCAAGATTTTGTGTTGGATAATATCCTGGAAAAGAAAATATATAGGTTTTTGTTAATACTGATAAACAATTAAAAAACGAAGGCTTTATAAACTAGACAGCTTTATTTTTGGAGGTTAGACATTTACTCTTTTGAGAGTATCAATTTCGAACATACTGAAAACTTGTTAGACCAGTAGGGTAAGAGGGTCACCTCTATGGTATTCAAGCTCTTATATCCTTTATCAGAGCCTATTCTGTAGCCCAAGCATGTCAAACTCTCGGCCTGCGGGCCGCATGCGGCTCACAATGAATATTTTTGCGGCCCAGCTAATATAATGGTGTGTAAGAAATATTTTAATAAAAATTTCATGACTTAATTTTTACATTATCCTGTTATACATACTAGCTATATTGGTTAATAATGCGGATTTTTTTCAGTAGATGGTGTTACCTATATGTTGACATATATGCGATTTGATATGTATGCTATTTTTTTGTATTGACAATAAGCTTCAAAACTTCATATGTCAAATTTGCTGAAGGTGTTAATATCATAGATATTTTTATGCTTAAAAATGTTGAATTTTGTGCCCAAAAAAAGAGCATTTGCGGGAAGTTTTAATTCATTACTTTATTTTGAAGAAAAGTGCTGCTGAATACTTTGGGAAGCTTATGGTGAACATGCTCCATCTCAAGATACTTGTGAACGCTGGTTTAAACACTTTAAAACTGATGATTTCGATGTGGAAGACAAAGAATGTCCAGGTCAACCAAAAAAGTTTAGAGACTAACAGTTACAAGCTTTATTGGATGAAGATGCATGTCAAACTCAAAAACAACTTGCAGAACGATTAAACGTTGCTCAGCAAACAATTTCCGATCATTTACAAGCAATGCGAAAGATTTTCAAGGAAGGAAGTGGGTGCCACATCAACTGAATGAAAGACAAATGGAAAATCGAAAAGTCATCAGTAAAATGTTGCTTCAAAGGCATGAAAGAAAGTCTTTTTTGCATCGAATTGTGACTGACGATGAAAAGTGGATTTATTTTGAGAATCCCAAATGCACAAAATCATGGGTTGATCCAGGTCAACCATCAACATTGACTGCAAGGCCAGATCGCTTTGGAAAGAAGACAATGCTCTGCGTTTGGTGGGATCAGGAAGGTGTGGTGTATTATGAGTTTCTAAAACCAGGTGAAACCCTTAATACTGATTGCTACCGACAACAAATAATGAATTTGAACCACACCTTGATTGTGAAACGACCAGAATGTGCCAGAAGACACGGCGAAGTAATTTTGCTTCATGGTGATGCAATATCACACACTTCAAAACCAGTTAAAGACACATTAAAAGATTTTGCCTGGGAAGTATTAACCCACCCGTCATATTCACCAGACCTTGCTCCTTCAGATTACCACTTGTTCCGATTAATGGCACACACACTTTCTGAGCAGCACTTCAAAACGTATGGAGAAGTGGAAAATTGGGTCTTTGAATGGTTTGCCTCAAAACAAGAAAAGTTCTATTGGGACAGTATCCACAAATTACCTGAAAGATGGGGGAAATGTGTAGCTAGTGATGCACATTACTTTGAATAAAGCACTTTTGATATTTCTCTTGAAATTATCGTGTTTTCTTTGATTACAAAATCCGCATTATTAACCAGTACACCTAGTAACTAGAGGCCTGGTGCACGAAATTCGTGCAGGTGAGGAGTCTCTCAGTCCAGCCTGCTGCAATCCAGGATGCTGTATGCACCAGTGACCATACTTTTCACACCATACTTTTCAACAGCAAGGCATCTTGCTGTTGTATGGGCAGCTACATTTTTTTGCCCTGATTATAAAAAGTAGTACATAACATGATCCTTCTGAGGCAGTAGTACCATTTTCTCCATCTTATGGGTGGAAAAACTGAAGCAGAGAGAAGTTAAGTAATTGGCTTTGTCACACAGTTGTAAGTGTCAGAATCAGGGCTGACCACAAAATGTGCAAGCCAGAGTCCATGCATGTCATCGCTGCATCATCCTGTTTTTTTTCAGTGTTAGAGTAGCCTTGCCAGGTTTTAATTTTTAAATCTAAGGGATTGTTCCTAAAATATAGGGTAGGGTCCCTAGGCCTGGCCAGCGATCAGGGTGGCTCTTTGGGGCGACCGGCAGGTGGAGCAATTGGGGGAGCCCCCCCCCCCACTGGCACCCACCTTGGCTGGCGACCTGGCACCACCCGCTGGCTGGCCCCGCCCCCCGATCGCCACTGCGGGTCGCCTCCCTCTTCGGGGGTTGGGGGGCAGACACTCAGTGCGCATCATAGCAACTGGTCATTCTGCTGGTTGTTCCATTGATTAGCATATTAGGGTTTTATTATATAGGATTATTAATGAACTACAACGTTTGCTAATGACTAATTACTATAATCATGCTGCATTCACTTCCCTTAGGCGCCTTACGCGCAGACACACCATTTCTCTCCACTAATACTAGCAGTGAATATTTTAGCAGCCGATTGCCACGTCATTAGTCTTGGACTGACTTGTTTGGTGTGTGCAACAGGAAATATTTTGCTTTTAGAGAACAAGAAAAATAGGTTTATTTACTTATTAATTTGTGCATTGTTCAGCATCTGGTAAGTTCATGTTCAAGAAAAAATAATTTTTTATTAAAATGTTAATTTAAAAAATATTAATTTTTATTAAAATGTTCTATTTTATGTGAACAATTATTCATTTCCGCCCTTTGTATTCAGCATGTCTCTATTGAAATAAACCTATGTTTCTATGAAAATTGAAGCTTTTGTTTTTTTGTGGCCCACATAAACTTAAACCTTGTTTATTTGGCCTGTGTAGGCCTTTGAGTTTGGCATGCTTGCTGTAGCCCTCTAATTAAAGATTATTATATCATCATTCTGAAATTGAATTTGAACAATTACATATATTAACGAAATGTACCTTTCCTTTTTACATCTTTCAGAATCATGGTGTCATGGAAAGGGATTTACTTCATACTCACTCTATTTTTGGGAAGCTTTTTTGGAAGCATTTTCATGCTGGGTCCCTTTTTACCTTTGATGCTTGTAAACCCATCCTGGTATCGCTGGATCAGCAACCGCCTTGTGGCAACCTGGCTCACACTTCCAGTGGTAAGTTACACACCAGAGAAGGAGACTATCAAAGTGGCCCAACCTATAGATTTTTATTTTGTTAGATTTAGTCAAATGTTAGATTTAAGTCTTTCCTGTTATATAAGAGGTGCATTAGGATTTAAAGGAAATACAAAAACTAGAGAGAAAAATAATTGTCCTTGGAAGTAAAACATCTAATTGAGACATATTTTATGCTTTAAGTATAGCAAAATATACAAATCTAAAGATACAGATTGAAGAATATTTGCATCATCGATTTTGCATCACCAATTTTGCATTTCTATTTACTTTACAAAACAAAAATTAAGATTTAGATAAATATTTTTTAAACTCCTGATATTGATGTCATTGCTTTAATTCTTCCCAATAACTACAAAATTTAGGGATAAAGTGGTTTCCTATCTGTGGACTAGGTCAACAACATCTGTAAGGTGAAAGTACATATAAAATGTGTAGTGGATTCCTGGAACTGCCAGGTATCTCTGCAAGGTCAGTGAATGCTATTGTGAGCGTATTCCTTCTGATCCTGAGCTGGGGACTCCCAGGAGGATTCCAGTCCAGACTCCTCTCTTGTCTGGGACTGCAGAGGCTTCAGCCTTCTCTGAAAATTGGCATGTATGCAGTTGTCCTTACCTTGAATAGGCTGTTTATCCTTCGTGAGTGTTATGTTCTTTCTTTTTCCTGAGCAACACCTAGAACTTACTCTTACTGGTTTACTTACTTTGTTATGGTGGGTGTTATACTCAAACAGGAGAACTAGAAAGGAATCCTCTTCCTTCATTTGTTGAAGGGTCTTCTTTTCCTGCTTTTTTTGAATTGAGTTGTCTATATCTCCTCAAGCAGATGCCATTGTTATGTTAGGAGAGAGGAGAGTATCGTGCTGATGGTATGGACCTCTCAGGTAGAGATTGATTGGGAAATATTTCCAGATGCAGTGGTGGTATACCTACCTTGATGGAGTAGATATTTCTTAAAAGTTTTCTGTAAATTTAATTTTAATAAATCATTTATAGTGTACCCTTCTTTTCATATTTAAAAAGGAATCCTCTGATGGATAATGTTTGAAATTAATTTGTTCCTTGTTTACAAGATTAATTTGTTTTAAATTATAGATATTTGTCTTATGAAATGTGATACTGCTTAACTAGAAGTAGCCCTCTGCCTCTTTCTGTCCTTCCGTCCTCTTCTCTCCTGTATTTGCACTTAAAGCTGTCTGTTCTACAGGCATAGGGAAAGGGACAGCTTACTGGTAGGTAATAAACAATTGTGGTGTGGTTGCATATTTAATTCCGTTATAAGGAGAAGAATGAAGAGATTTTGTTGAAAGGAAAAGTCAAAGTAAAAATTCCAGGATAAGGAAGATCAGAGCTGCTGACCACTTTTGAGGCAGCTACTGTGTTTAGGAGGATGGCTTCATTTCAGGTGCCACCATTGTCCCCATTTTATAGAACAGGATATAGAAGCTTTGAGAATTAAATAATTTGCCCAAGGTCACACACAGAAGCAAATTATTTAAGCACAGATAAGATTAAATCCAGACTGTCTGCTGCCATTAGAGCCTTAAGCGATAGGATTGATCAGACTCACATGGAGCCTTAACAACTCTTCAGTGGCAAGAAGTTCACAGATACCTCTTGATTGTTTCAGAGGGAGGTAAGGAGTTATTTTGAGCTAGGGAATGCCTGTCTAAGAGGAAAAATATCTGAGAAACGGATAACTAGTAATATAAATTGGTCTCAGTAATGTGATGATTCGCTCACAGTGGAGAGGAAAGTTGGCAAGAAATGGTCATAGAAAGCCTTCTCTTTTGGTAGAGCAGCAAAGGACATAGGTTGCTGAAATGCCTGAAACAAGGTACGTATTAAAATATTTTTTGGATGAGTAGACAAACATAAAGAAGTTGCAAGGCCAGACTGCCCAAACTTTGATATCAGAATAGGCTGGCTTCATAAAACATTCAACATTCTCTCCTCTAGTTTTGAAAGAAAATTATATTCATATAATTTTTTAAATTATGGTTTAAAAATTACCTAATGCAACATTAGTGTATTACAGTCCACTTAGAGTTAATATTTATTGCATCTTATAAAATGTAAGAACCTTGTAATAGTGTAATGCATTTATTCTTACATCCTTTGTACTGCATTATCATATATTACATCAAGCATGTCAAACTCTCGGCCCATGGGTTTGCAGCCCACAATGAATATTTTTGCGGCCCAGCCAATATAATGGTAGGTAAGAAACGTTTTAATAAAAATTTCGTGACTTAATTTTTACAATATCCTGTTATACATGATTATTAATAATGAACTACAACGTTCGCTAATGACTGATTACTATAATCATGTTGCATTCATTTCCCTTACACGCCTTACGCACACGTGCACCTTTTCTCTCCAGTAATACTAGCAGCGAATATTTTAGCACCTGATTGCCACGTCATTAGTCTTGGACTGACTTGTTTGGTGTGCGTAACAGGAAATATTTCGCTTTTGGAGAACAAGAAAAATAGGTTTATTTGTGTTACGCTTATTAATTTGTGCTGTTATTCAGTGTCTGGTAAGTTAATGTTTGAGAAAAAATATTAATTTTTGTTAAAATGTTCTATTATTTTATGTGAACGATTACTCATATATTTCAGCCCTTTGTATTCAGCATGTCTCTATCAAAATAAACCTACGTTTCTATGAAAATTGAAGCTTTTTTTGCAGCCCACATAAACTTAAACCTTGTTTATTTGGCCTTTGAGTTTGACATGTTTGTATTACATCTACTTACATAATTAACTCCATAATGCAATGTTATAATTTTTTGCTTTAAATAGTCATGTCTTTTAAAGAAACTAGAAGAAAAAATACAGTCTTTATTTAAATATTTTTCATATCTAGTGTTCTTTATTACAGTTTCCATCTAGTGCCTTTTCCCTCCAGCTTAAAGAACTTCCTTTAGCTTTTCTTGTAGTGAGGGCTCCTGTAGCTGAATTGTTTTAATTTAATTGAAATTTTCCTTATTTTGCCTTCACTTTTGAAGCATAGTGTTGCTGGCTATAAAATTTTTCTTTTCATACTTTAAAGTTCTACTGTCTTATGGGTCATTTATCTCTGATTGCTTTTAAGATTTCTCTTTGTTTTTATTTAGCAGTTTGATGATACATATATCTAAATGTATTTTTCTTTATGTGTAGTTTATTGTGTTTATTGGGCTTCTTAGATCTGCATGTTAGTTTTTTTCCAAATTGGCCCATTAATTCATCTAGCTTTTTCTGCTCAATTCTGTCCTTCTGGGACTACAGTTTATATATATATTAGATTTCTTGTAGTGTCACACAGGAAAGCCAAGGTCACTAACCCTTTCTCCTGCTGTTTTCCTTACATAGTGGATTTCTATATAAAATAGTGTACTTTAAAATCCTAGAATTTATTGTTTCTTGTTGGTTTCATTACTTTCTTGAAGTTCTTCATCTGTTTATTATGTGACCATATTTTTCTTTAAGTCAACTGGGTGGTAAGTCTACTACCATTTACTTTGTCCGGGCTGGAAGCAGCGGTCATCCTTTTTTTTTTTTCTTTCCTGTAGAAAATACTTTGCATTGAATATTTGTATGGATCCTTCTTATTCTTTTAGGCAAATTTATTTTTCCTTTCTTAATAGAAGGATTTTTGTTTATTTTTTAGAGAGAGAGGGAGGGAATCATCGATCGGTTGCCTTCCATATGCACCTTGACAGGATTGAATCTACAATCTGGGTATGTGCCCTGACTAGGAATTGAACCCGTGACCCTTTGGTGCACAGGACAACACTCCAACTAACTGAGCCACACTGGCCAGGGAATTAGGAGGATGTTTTGTTGTAATTTTTGTTTATTGCAAGTAGTTAGCAGGATCCCTGAAGATTCATCCAACAACTATTAAGTATCCACCATGTACCAAGCATTTTGCTAGGATGTAATGACAAGCAGGACAGATATGACCTCTGTCCTTGTGGAGGTAATAGTCCTTATACCTAAAATTTTTCAAACTGTACATTTACACAGCCACCTTCTTTTCTGGCTTTCATTTGGCTGAAAGACTACTTCCCTTGTTAGAGGTCAGAAGTTGACTTTTCAGGCCATGAATTCTTAGAGTTGGATTTTTAAATCAGCTTTAAAAATACGAAGTCCAATATTTCATTATAGCCCTCATACATACCATTTAATATAAAATATCCATCTTCTGGTATTGCGTAGCCACTATCACTCGCTTATTTACAAAGTGACTATTTCTCCATAAAATATTTATGTCAAATAAAATAAGCATACTTTCAGTTCACATAAAATTATCACGAGTAGATTTTTCTAAAAAGTCATCTACAAACTGTCCAGATATTAAATAATCCCATTTGTAGTCATTAATAAAACCAGAGAAATTTCATTTTGAAAATGTTTAACTTTTCTCAGGTTTTATCATCTGTAAAATAAGGAAGTTAGAGTAGATAATCTCTGATATCCATTCCAGAGTCAGCATTGTATATAGAATTCTAAAAAAAACATTTAGAGGTAAATAATTTTTTTAGTAATAGTCATATTTTGCTCCTACACTTCATTTTCTTTAATGTCATCAGTTTTCCACAGTATATAATCTTTTGGTTGTGAATATCATGATTTTGGCAGAACCTCTGTACCAAAACCTTCAGACTCTTGAGAATTTTCTTATAGTTACTATCTTGGTAGAAATCATTGTAATTGTAATGATTTACAGTGTCATTCAGATTTCCTTGGAAAGCCATTATAAGCAGAGTGCTTATTGGTACACACATTTGGTTTCAGGATTGGCCTTACAACTTTCTAGTCATTTAAACTTGGCTAAGCTCCTTAGCCTCTCTAAATTTCTCTTTCTTCTTCTGTAAAAAAGGAGGTTCTAATTCTATCTACATGTCTCGGAGAGTTATTGCGACAACTAAATGAGCTGATAATACAGACTTTGTAAATTATGTAGCAAATGTTTGCTCCTATATTC